GTTTTGGAACTGATAAACTAATATATGAGCCTGAAGTGTTTGTTTGTTTGACTTCCTAGATCTAATAATGTAATCTTTTTCAAAATTAGTGTTAATATTATATTTTTCTGTAGGGACACAGCTCAGTCTGGGAGTTCAGATATAAAATTTACAAGCATGCAACAGGCTGAACAAATGGAAGGTGTTTTGATTTCATGTACATGCAGAACTGTGACAGCCTTTGTGGTTGAGATTGAAGGAGGTTTGTTATTTAAGATGTAATGTTCTGTTCCAGAATAAAACATACAAATTATAGTGCTTTACTGTTTTTGAAAATGCATCTGATGTCCTGGGGACTCCCATGGTGTTTCCTTGTGAACACTGGTATAAGAGCTGTTCTTTAGTAATTGTGTGTGACACTGAATACATTTATGAGGAGTGAATTTGATGGAGGGGATGAAGGTCTGCAACCTCGTTTCCTAGAACTCTGGGTAGGCTTTTTTTCCTATTTCAGCAAAGGCTTTAGCATATATTATACTAAATGATGTAAATATAGAGAATGCAGTGAATTTTCTCCTAAAAATTGAAAGTTCATCAATACATACTTTTAAAATGCATACTTACTCTTTTTCAGTGTACTCAGGCAGCAGCTGGTGGGTTCTTTCAGGATTCAAGAGTGAGAGCTAGCTAGGAATGATGTTGCAAGTGGTATCATTTTGCTCTTCCTGTGGAAAAAATTGAGCTGATGGCCACTTTAGAGAAGGTTGAGTTGCTGCTTTCTGTTCTTTGGAAACTTGTCATAATCTCTGACATCTGTGATTCAACTAATCTCCTGAGAAAAGAATAATAAATTACTTCCTTGATGACTTTTTATAATCAGATACTCCTCAAAATCCAGGAGCTAGCATGGGTTGTGTATTCAAAACAGTAGCTGGACCTTTTCTTTATCTTGTCTGTGAAGGTATTTTTCTTATTTTCTGAGTTTTGTGTTCCCTGTCACATTTGTGATACAAATGAGTGCTGGTGCCTCCAGGTTTAGCTGGCACTTGCAGTCTTTGTGATGCTGTGCTGCTGGTCTTGTGTTTTTCCTGTATTTGGCTGTCATCCAGAATCTCTCAGGTCATGTTTTATCTTTCTTCTTTGTTTTTCTTCACTCAGACTATCTACTTTATTTTTGCTGTGGTTTAGCTGCTTATCTTTGAAGTATAATTCCCATCTTTATCCACTCCTTGTGTTTTCTGATGACAACTTGTTTATTTCATTTGCTTTTTACAGGGCTTCATCTGAGCTGTGTGTCATCACACAAAGGGTACTCCAATAATTGATCTTTCATTTTCAAGCAAAGTGAGAAATCACATGTCAGGATTTATCTTTCTCAATATTCTTGAACATGTCTTTGATAGATGGAGTGGCAAATAAAAGGTTACACCCCTGTTTTCTCTGTAGAAGAAATAATTTGAGTATCTTAGTTTAACTTTTTCATTGATTCTATGTGACCTGCTTCAGTGCAGATAAAATATTTTTGATTGCTGTATTCCCTTGTATGCAGACCTGTCCTTTGCATGTGTATCTGCTTTGTTCAAAGTAATTTCAAGCCATTTTCTTACTCTGAAGGCTTGAGGAATATTCAAATAATCCATAATCTCTTCCCTATTACTGTTCTTAACTGTGTAGGCCCATACTCTGTCTCCTTTTTTGAGTTCAGTTGTTTGTTCATACAGTTCTTCTGTTCCATTTTGCACAAGACCCCGTGGCTTTTTGTTGTCAGACAGTGCAGGTAGGAGTAATATTTTCACCTTTTTTTGTTCTTGTTACTGTTTTTTGAGTCTCCACATAGTATATCTACAGTATTTTTATATCCCTATTGAAAAACCTTTCCAAATGAGATTGTATTCATGAGAATACTGATATAATTCATCCTTGCTGCACTCTTCCATGTTAAATCTTACTCTGCTGCAGAAAATTATTTAGAAATATTGTTCCTTTTGTTAACTGAACTCAGATATGATAGTGAGCTGATTGTTTACTAGAGATTAGGTAGTGAATATGAAGTTATATATATTCTAAGTCTGCTATTACCGTTTATATGTTATGAGGAGAAAATGTACTGAATGAGGTGTTCCGTGGTAGGTGTGAGAAGGTTACAGTTTTGTCATCTTGCCAACTTTCCTGATTTGAAATGTGACATTGGTGAATCCCTGTACTCTTTAGATGGTTTTGTTGTAGTATTTAATGAACTTTATGCATGGCTAATGGGCAATGAATAAACCAAAATGCAAAAGTATGTAGGAGAAGATGGGGGATTGGGAAGAAGATGAATTGTCCAAGATGGTTTATTAAACAGCTCAAAAAGGAAACTTGAGGAACTTAGTTTTAGCATTATTTTTTCGCCTTGTTACTCAAGGTCCTATAAACATGAGAACTCCTGCGTTGATATGCACGAGTAGACACATACAAAACACTACGGAACGTCCTCATGCCTCGGTGAGAGCGCACTTCACATATTCATCAGCGCTGTTGTGGTCTTTGCCTTCACTCCACGACTCCTTTGAAGGGCAGCAGCTTCCCACCCTGCTGGTGTGCCAGCTCTGCCTGCCATGCCTTGTGTCCCATCTTATGCCATCTCTTAGGAGCTGTGGCCAGTCAGTAGCTCGGGGCTTTGGAGGAGGCATGGTAATTGTGCTGACGGTGTTTGTAAACTTGTGTGCTGCTGCTTCCTTGAAGTATTTTTTGTCTGAAGTGTCATGGTATGTCTTGTGATGTTTCTGGAGTTTTTCCATGGAATGTACAATTATTTTTCTTTGTTCATCTTCTTGTTGCTATGCAATGCCCCTCGGCAGACATTCTTGACCTTCTAGCAACTGGGTTGATCATTTTTAAGGCTCTTTTAATGTGTTGCTAATAGATTCATAAATTTGGCAATTGCAAACGTTTGCTTTAAAACAAATTAATTTGAAGCAGTTGATTAAGAGTTTCAAGGTGAAGTGATCCCTTTCACCAAAACTGCATAGTTCAGTGCAGATTTTGTGTTCTTGTGGAGGGAGAGATACCACACTGTATATAATGCATCTTAGCAGCTGCCCTTTTCAAGGCCAGGTTTGGGTCTGGTTGCTTTGGCTTAGTTCTGGAGCATGAGGATCACTGTGCTTTAGCAGTCATAGTAATGTTTGGTAAGGCTCAAGCTGCAGCATTGTTGTGTTACCAGAATGTCCTTTTTATAGTATTAATAAAAAATTAGACTTGGTGGTTTGGTTTTCCTTATTTATTCCCATTCCTTTGGAGGATATAAGCTGTGTAAAATAGTATAATACAAAATATGTGTATTAAGTTTAAAGCAGCCCTGTTACATGTATTCACAAAAATGGATCCATTCTAATTGCTAAGTGCTTTGTCCCATACAAACCATTTTCATGCTTTTTGTTTCCCTTGGTTTCTGACCTTTAGGTCTGCACTTGGGTGGTGTGTAAAGTCTGAGCCTTTTGTACAGTCTTGATGTTTGTGCTGAAATTTAAACAAGTTCTAAATCAATACAATTCCTAAAACAATAAAAATGCAAACTATTTTTGAAGATACAAAGCCCATCTCTGGTTTGTCAGGGAGAGATATTTGAAATGATTGGCAAAAATTCTGCAGGAGCACTGGAAATATCATAATTATCCAACTAGTGCTCTGAAGGGCCTAACATTCATTATTACAAGATGAAAGCTCTGGTAGATTGAAATAGTCATTTGTAGCTATAATTTTTTTTTTTTTCTTTTAGTTCCCACCCGCTCATTCACCCATGCACTTCAACCTCAGAATGATTTCCTATCCTGAGTTCATGGGAATTGGGAACAAGGGTAGCTGTTATCATAGCCATTGTAAAAGCCTTAAAACAAAAAAAGGCGAGGGGAATGCTGGAGAGGGTGGAGGAACAAGGAACAGTTGTATTGATTTCTTCTGATCTTAAGGCCAATATTAAAAGTACTTAAGTTAGAGAGCTGGAATTTTACATGATTTCTAGCTTTTGTCATCTTTCAAAATGTGCATTTTTTAGCATATGACTTTCTAGTGCTTCAGCTTAAAATTTTTTTTTTTACTTTATGTTTAAACTTTCTCAACACTTGATTCTGTTGCACTTTTCTATTTTGGTATTCAGAGTATTTCACTTACCTCAAATGAAACAAGAAAATTCTAAATGTAATTAGTGGAAGGCCCAATGTTCATCAAAAGCTTCCTTGAAAATTAATTTAAATCTATGAAATTCAGGTTGCTTCAATCAAAAGATTAAGGGTTCATGACAGCAATACTTTGAAAAATAAAAATCATCCATAAGTATGATAGGTAATATCAGCCTAAAATTTAGGAGCCTTTCCATAAAGAGATCTAGGATTCAGATCTCTGTTCCTGTGTTTGAAATTACTTGTTCAACTTATGTGGATTGGAATTGGGGTGTGTGGTGATATTTTGCTGGTTTTAAATTGCCTCTTCCTAACACTGGGGGATTCAAGAATTTCTTTAGGCTTGGGATAAACCTTTCTCTGGTGGTGATCACAGTTTTCACTTTTATGAAATTTTGGACTTGGAAAGAAAAATGATGGGGAGCAGATAGGGACTGAGGCTTGTGGATGTTTTTATGGGGTACCTGGTTGGCTCTTGGGTTTGCTCTGAGTGTGCAGCTCCCTGCAGTGTTGCTGTGTGTTACTTTGGCTGTATCAGATTCTTGCTTGGCTGCTTAGATGATGGTTTTTAATTGAAGTAAATGTCATGCCTGTGTTGCTACAAGCTTAATTTTCTTAGTATTTTTTCAAATGCAGTGATAACAGCCTTAGACTTGACCTATCATGTTCTTCCCGGGTTCTTATGTCTCAATGATAGCCTATAATAGCTTAAATTCCCAAGGTCTTAATTTCAAAAGAGCTGTGGCGTTCAGTGCTTACTTTGACTTGTGTTTTGTTTGTCTTTCTGGGCGTTTGTACATATGCTGACAATTTTAAATGGAAACGATTTGAGAAAACGATCCTTAATCTTTTTATGCTGTGTCAATACTGACTGTGAGTTCTCCTCCAGGTGCCCAGATTATCGATTTAATGATGCTTGTGATAGATGTGACAAAAGGGATGCAGACACAGTCAGCAGAGTGCTTGGTAATTGGGCAGATTGCCTGCCAGAAGATGGTGGTAGTTCTGAACAAAATAGATCTCCTTCCAGAGGGGAAGAGACAGAGTGCCATTGAGAAGATGACTAAGAAAATGCAGAAGACCTTGGAAAATACCAAGTAAGTGAACAGTAATATTTACAGGTAACTGGTCACAAAATTTGATTTGGCAAAAATACCAGCATTTCTTTTCCAGCATGCTTCTAAACATACTGGCACATCTAGCAAAAATGATGAGGCTAGAGTGAAAATATTTCCTCAGAAGCTCAGGTGAAATTCCAGATTTACCTCTGCAAGTATCACGTGTAGAGAAATATTTTCCTGTAATTAAGCTTTTCAATTTAAAGAGCTACATGGAGTTTGGATAGGATAATACAAAGCCAGAATATCCAGGTGAAGAGCTGTTGGATGTGGTTACAGAAACTGTAGCACATCTTTGCACATGCTTTGCTCAGGGATGTAAGGGGCAGAACTATCAGGTCACATTTTGAGTTGAAGGATCTGAGGAACAGGTTTCAGCATACGGAGGAGAGAGAACCAAAATTCAGTTTTTGCATGTGCAGTCTGTGCTTGCTGGTGCTTTGACAGCACTGCTGATCTGGGTGTGATTGCAAAGTGCTTGTCCTGTTGTATCTCAGGCTTGTGGAGTTTCACAACAGCCTTTTCCCTACTTGACTTTGAATCTCCAAGTGTGTGGTTTTAAAATGCTTTTCTGTTCCTGAACTCTTCTTATTAGCAGGATATGTGCTGATATCATTTGACAGTTGCCTCTAGTGGCAGTTGTGGTGTTTTTGTTTTTCTTTCAAATAGCTGTTGAAATATTTTCACTGTACACATAGGTGTGCATGTGGAATTCCATAACAGTAAGCAAAGCTGAAGGCTGTTGCAGTTGTAGAGTAGATGTTGCCACCAATGCTGGGGAAATTATTGTAGTGTTATCTGGAAATTGTATAGAGAGAAAAAAAAAAAAAACCAACAACCAAAAAACAAAGGCAGATGAAAGTAACTAGTATATTTGAGTAGTTTGATACTTGTGAATTTACCTAATCAAAACTTGGTTTTCTGTGAATTGATACCAAAATGAAAAGCAAGCTGTCTCTATGAGTGGAATTTCAGTTTTTAAAAAAATTTTTTGCACATCAGATTTTTCCTTTGTCCAGCTTGATCTGAATTCTGCTGAGAGAAATTTGGTGTGATGGAGTAAAAGTTTCAGTAGGGCTGGAGCATGTTCAGAAGTGCCTCTAAATGTACCATACAATTACTCCAGTTTGTTCTGGTGTATGGGAAGAGGAGTAAAGCATCTGGTTCAGCATAAATTTCTATTTATTGCAATACAGTACTCTGAAATACTTGTATAAAAATAAATTTCCAAAAGTTTTATGGTTAGTCACAAGAATTTTCAATGCATGTTTTTATTATCCTTTGTCCTTAGATGCCTCAGGCTTATGGCATGTAAACAAAGAAAATACCTCATGTGCCTGATTACAGCTGGGTCACTGAGTGAGCTCCCTTTATAGAACTTAACATTTCTTCTTCTTACCAAACATTACTATGACTGCTAAAGGCACCATCTCTTCCCTCCAGTTTGCTCCCTTATGAGAGAAAATCAGTGGGGGGTGAGTGTCAAGAGGATGGCCAAAATAATTAATTTTGGTCTGAATCTGTTGCATAAGTACCTATGAGAACCAGTTACTTTTTGGTGTAATTACTGATTATTATTCCATTACTTTAATATATATTTTATGTGGTTAATTCTGATTTTTGAAAAATGCAATAAAAAACATTAGGTTGTATTTTAGGGAGCAAAAGTTAAGTCTGTTGACTGAATTTGTAAAAAAAAATAAAAAGAAAATTTGCTGTAAGTTAAGGACTTGAAGGATAAAACTGATTGTAGGGTAAAAGGTAAACTGAGGTCAGCTGGCTGTACTGCTCCTCTCTGAACCTTTGCATGTTTGAGATTTTTAAGTTTTGAAGACTTTGATTTCAATAGATTTAGATCTTTCTGTTGTCTACAGATCTTGCAGACTCAGGTAGGCATCATGAGGCATCTTGGATTTGGCTCCTGTTTTGAAGGTTATGACTTTACAGTTAGAATTTCAATTGTTTAATGAAAGTTAAAAATGTGCTGGTCTCCAGATAAAATGACTTTGGATGCAAACCACTGCATTAAGACTGGGTACCAGCAGACCTTTGCTTCTGAAATAAATGGAATCTTGCATTTGACTGTTACAGCATTGAATCAGTAGCTAATGTGGAACAGGACTGAAGCTTTCATAGTGAAGACTGGTAGTGCTGATCTGCTGGTAATTCAGGAAGAAATTGCCAGTCATACTGGGGGAAGAGCAGATAAATTGGAATTTTAGGAAGTTTCCTGGCCTTCAGTTGGGCCTGGAAGTTCTTTATATTGACATGTGTCAGAGATCTGTGATCTAATGGTGAAAATCTTTCTCTCTTTCAGATTCTCTGGGTGTCCCATTGTTGCTGTCGCAGCAAAGCCTGGTGGACCGGAAGCCCCGGAGTCTGAGAATCCACTGGGTGTTTCTGAATTAATTGAGGTACTCACTGAAGAACATAATAAAATGAAAACATCCCTTCTCAGGTGTTAAAAACCCTTAGTTGCATGGCGTTTTTAGCTTGAAATAGACTTGACACCCTTTCTGTAATAAGTTTAGGGAAAGGAACATCTTTGCCCTGGAGGGATGCCACTGTTACTTCAGACAGCAGAAAAGACAAAGGCAGCATTCTTTGAAGACTTGTCAAATTCTGATTTGGATGCTGCCATGTTTGAAGTACTTGTAAATTAATGAAGGTAAGGTGCAGCTGTCAGTTACCAAAAAATCTAGGGATGCCTGGCTCTGGGCAGCCTGGCTTGTTTAAAGGCAGGATAATTCCACAAGGCTGCTGAGCACTGGATGCTGTATCACCTCCCAGGCTAGTGTGAGTCAGGATGGGCATGGGGATGGAATGTAGTATGGCCTTAGACTAGACTTAGCCAGGACCAATCTGCCCCCAGCAGTTTCTAGAGATGAGGAGATATGCAGGTGCTTACTTCTGCCTTGATCTGGTTCCTGTTAGATTTACCAGGATGTTCTCCAGGGTTCAAACCTTTGAAGGAAACACTCATTGCAGCTGTTCTGTCAGCTGAAACCTAATATTAGACAAGCTGGCAAATTCTGTGTGAGCCCTGCCATTGAACTTCGGGCTGTTATCCCCTCTGTCCTTCCTAAGAGACTCTCCGTGGTTCTGCCATTACAACCTGGGCTTGGGCTGCAGTTTCTGACCTTAAAAACAGATGTTAAAGGCAATACCAAGTGTATATGCAGGTGATATAATAGAGACAGATACTGAAAGTGATTTGAGACAGGAGTGAACCTTTGAAGCACTGTAGAGTAATGACTTTCTTTTTATAATTAAAATCTTTTGGCTGATGATGTATTTTAAAAAATCAGAGTATTTGTCAACAAAATAGTGCTAAACTCAGGGAATTTCTCTAGGAAATGGTACTTATGTGGTTTTTCTTAATGCCTTGATCCTTCAAGAAGCACTAACAAAAGTCTGAAGGGGAGGTTGAATATGAAAACTTGACCCAGTATTACAGTTTTTCTGGGATGGAGACAGAGATGGGCTTTATGGGGCACTAATATCTGTACATAAGGTCATTTCCACAAAATCCAAAAAAGCTGAAGTAGCAAAGAGCACTGTAAAATTGTGCTTTTGAGGGAGGGACTAAGAAGGGGGGGATGACACATGTACAGTTGTTTTTTTCTCTTTGCTTTGCTGCAGTGTTTATATTGAGTTTGGCAGCAACTTTATCGCCAGTGAGGTTTTGCTAACCAAGCTAAATGTGCAGCACCAAATCTTTCTAAGGCAGAAAATCGAACTGTTCCTGCTGCTAAGTGTGCAGCTCCTCTATGGCACGCAGTTAATTTGACATTGGTGAGTTCTAAGCTCATTGGGAGATGCCTGAAATCAGTAAAATTGCAAGCTTGTTCAATCAATCATCCACTTGCCTGCCTTCTGCTGTGTTGCTGTCATGATTTTTCACCCAGGCATGGTGCTGCTTTTATCTTTTTTTTCAGGTCTTGAAGTCTCAGGCTTACCTGCCATCAAGAGACCCCTCAGGACACTTCCTTATGGCAGTTGACCACTGTTTCTCTATCAAGGGTCAAGGCACAGTGATGACAGGGACTATTCTTTCTGGCTCTGTTAGCCTTGGTGACAATGTGGAGATTCCTGCCCTGAAGGTGAGTCTCTCATTTTCATTCCCCCTGGTTTTCCTGGTAGAAGGAGACACTCAACAAAGAAAAGAGTGTTCTCATCCAATCTGAAATTATTCAATTATTTTCAATTTTTATTTTTGTGCTCTGTTATAACCCAGTTTATAACAGTAAGAGGCACAGTGATTTTTAAGTAAGGCGGTCAGTAAAGTTACCTGCTCAATAATTTAGTTGGATAAGGAGAAGACTGATCTAGATTAGCATGTTACACTTTCAAATTCAGAGAAGTAAAGTGGGCATATTTGCAAGATGGGATGTGTCCAAGGACTGAGCAAGGTTTGCAGGAGGTTACTTTCATTTGAGATATGCGCCAGGGAGAAGGTTTGCAAAAGAATCCATGTAGGTAGGCTTCCAGAAATGTCTGAAAGCAAAAGAAATGACAAGAAGAGGGCATTGAAATGCTTGATGCACATTCTCTTTGTTTGCTGAGGCTTTAATTTGTGTCAGCATGTTCTGAGAGAGCTGCTAGGATGCAGTAGGTGGCTTGCTGCCATTGGGCTCTTCAGAGAGCCTGTAGGAAGTCAAAGAGACCTTCCAATGGCCTTTGAACTGCTCAGTTGTTGTTACTGTTTAATTTCCTTAAAATATATTAATCCTTTAAAAGAAAGCAAAGTGACTTTATGCTTGGAACATGTGAAATCTATCTCACAGGTGCAATTATCTGATTTGATAAACTGCTTTGATTTTCCCTTAGTATTAATTGCCCAAAATTAATTAAGACTTGAGGAGTATTTCACAGCCACCACTTAAAAATGGACCCAGCTCATAACATTCTGTGGGTGGGCAAGTTTTGGCCTAACAAGCCTGGATGGGACTCTTTCAATGCTGTCAGTATTATCTTCAAGCCATTTTGCTATAAAGACCTTACTATTTCACTGAGTGAACGTGCTGGTTTCTTATTTTTGATTGTACTGTTTGGGCAAGTAAAAGACTGTGAGGCATTCTGATTTCACCTGAAGTATTTGGCTGATAGCAGATGATTTATTTCTGTCCAGCCTCTTCAGCAATACCTGTGGCCATCTAGTTTATATCCTATTGTTCTTTGCAGAGAAATGATTTGTATGATACGTACTCTGACGTTTCTGCTTCCCCAGTCAAGTTCCTCACTGCCCATATTCTTAATTACAGCACGCAGCCTAATTTGGGAGCCATGCTTTCAATTCCTCCAAGAATATGCTTGCTGGGATTGTAGCTCTAGCTTCAACCTCTCCTGGTTTCCACTTGGCACTGTTCTTTCCTTTGCTATTGTGTCCTGTTCTCTGTTCTGGGCCTGCCTGTGCTCAGGGTCCAAAGAGGGGCAAGTAGTTAGGAGTGCAAGGACTGGGAGGTGGCTCCTGCCCAAACAGAGCCTTGCATAGCGAGTTCACTGCTTTCTTTTTGGTACAGCATTTGCCAAACTTCCTGACATTTTGTGCTCAGGAGATGGGGGAGACAGGACAGAGTAATTATTTCTTGCAAAGAAAGAATGCATCACTAGATTGTATCTGGAAATGACTATTCTGCTTTTCATCTGTAGTCCAAGAATCTTTTGAAGAAATATGTTTAGAAATAAGTCTGTTTTTTGAGAATCCGTATAAAGGAGGAAATGACAAAAATATAGTAAATAACTTGTAAATTTGTGTTTAAAAGGACAGTGGAAAAGACTTTAAGTGTGACTGGGAGAGTACAGACAACTTAGTAGATAAACAGGTCATCTGCAAAGAAAAGCCAGATCAGTTGGCTCTTACGGCTTTAACAACTTCCCTCAAAGTTTTAGTTATTTTTCCAGTTGCTGTTAATGAATTAAACCTTCCACTGCTGTGTGTGAAATAGAAGATGTGTCCATGCCTCTGAATGATAATAGTGATGGGCAGAGTTTTGTATTTGGCACTAGTAGCTTGTGGACATTCACCTGCCTGTTGCACAGGTATGGAAACAAAGACCCAGGGAAGGGAAGCAATGTTTGTAAGTTTGAGCTGTGTGTTGTACTTACCCCTGCCAGCATCACGCAGAGCTGGGTTAGGATACCTATAAAAGGTCAAACCTTTCTCAGGCCTACGAGGTAACGGAGGAAGCACATTTCACAACACATTGTGGTTTATGACTCTCTCTGACCTTTTTTTGCCCTGACTCAATGGTAACTGAGATTGACAGCTGGTACATTTAGGGACGTTACAAACTAGCTGCTTTTTTTAAGTTTGAAGAACCCTCTCACCAAATGAAGTGGCATCACCTTCCAGTTCTACTAATGGACTTCGACATCTTTGACCGCTTGAACCTGCACAAAGGAGGGACACAGCAATTAAAAATAAACAGTGACATTCTCAAATGCCCATGCTTGCTCTGATTGAGGCTGAGAGCACCAGCAGTGCATGGATTCCTTTATGCTTTGCCTATGTAAATTGCCATCTGGGGCTGATTATCCATATAGCAAAAAGAAAAATTATATATGTGTGTTTGGCAAAAAGCTTTGACACAGCAAACAGTTCACTCTCCAATTGAGTTAGTACTATTTGCTCCTTAGCACTTGAAATCCACCTTGAAGAGCATGAACCTAGGATTTCTGCAGCAAAAGCAGTGTTGCTAGAATTCTGAATGTCATTTAAGATTATTTCAGTGGTCTTTCAATCTCAGTTGTCTTAGAGTTTATAAACTACAACAACTTGTGACATTTGTATTTCTGCTTAAGTTACTAGAGTTTGAATAATACGGACTTTTTGAAATTTAGTGTAATTTTGTTTTACTGATAGGTTTTTATTTTACTGATATCTAAAGTATATGTTTAGAGACTTTAGTTGAAATGAGGATGAATGTCAAACTCCAGTGCTGCTGGATTTTTTTTTAGCACAGTTTAACTGAAAAAGGAAAGTGTTTTCAGTGGGAAAGAGGTATCTTTTGCCTTCCTAATCCAGGTGAGAAAGATCATAGAAAGGTCAAGTCTGAATTTGGTGGGGAGGCAAAGAGAGATGTACACAGCTCATGAATCTGATTATCCTGAAAGTGTCCACTTGGCATTGCCTTACCTGTGATCAGGGCTCTGGGTGTACAAGACCCAGAGCACTGATGTGGCAGCCAAGTATGCAGACCACTGCTGGAACTCTATTTTAGGAATTGTAAGAAGCAGAGACTTTCCTTTGTCTTATAGTCAGGTTCCTGTCTGTCCTGTTTAGTGCATTGCTAACAAATGCTGGAGCAGACTGATGCAAGTTGAGTGGCTAGTGGAGGTTCATAACTGGCTTGGAGGCTCTGTAAAGTCCAGTGCTGCCATTTGTACTGTGTATGAGTCAGAATTTGTGAGTGTCTTGAATGCTGAGTAGATGTGTTCCTGCTGAGTGCTTACATTCATGTTTTTCTCTAGGGGATCATGTGGGGATTCTCTCTCTGTTGAATCTGAATAACATATCTGGTGATGTATGGTAAAAAGTTGTTTCTTGCAATAAATCTCATTAAAAGGAAAGATAAATATTCTTACCAGCTCCAACCTTAATCATCCTGGAGGTTTATAGTAGCCAATTGCCATTATTTGTGTGGAGCATCTCAGTCTCAAAAGCTGCAAGCCCATTTATAAAATGCTCCGCTGGTATTGGAGAGTAGTCATACAGGTTGTTTCAGTGCTCAAGTGAGCTTGCAAAAGTTGATGTGAGACTTGATATGAAAAATGTGAGGAACTTGTTTCTGTGTATCTAGTCAAGTCTCCTAGTAAATGAGAATGATGGTTTAAAGCAGTAGTGATTCTGTCTTGGCAAGACTGTCAAATTATACTGACTTTATGAACGATAGAGAAGCACTGTTTTGCATGATTCTGAGAAGCTTCATATACTTTCACCATATGAGAAGAGATGTTTTCTTCTAAGCTTTTTTTGTTGGCTAGATAACCTTGGTCTGTGTTTTGGCAAATGTTCTGTAGCTTATATGGCTAGTACAACAAAAAAATTCTCCACTGTCTGATAGAATAACTCAAATAACATTTGCAAGACTATTTCCTTCAACCAATTATAGCTATTAAAAATCTAGCAGAGAGGTCTACTTTTGTCCATGTAAGTACTTCAGTCTGTCTGATGTCCCAGGACATCTGATTAGTGAGCTTTAGTATGTATATGCATGTAGTAAGAACTAATTTTAGTTCATTTAAGGACTTTCGCACAATGAGAGTTGCACCCTTAAGCCTTGTCAGAGGACATTTAAATCTCAGAAAATTAACTTGGATTCAACCCCACTGAATTGGATCACAAAGTCATTTGTATATGGACTTTCATGGTGCAATCTTAAAGGAGTTTTTGCTTTTACCATTTTGAGCACTTTGGGCCTTCTAATATGCCCCCTCCAAATTACAGTCAATGTTGACTGCTTTTAGCACTGCAAATCGAGAGGATGCTTGCTATATATTGAGAGTGTCTGAATACTCCTTCTACATCTGTTTCTTCCTGTGCTGCTTGAGTTATTCTTGCCCAATACTGATATAAACAGCCTTTGAAATGCAACAGGTCCTCTGCTGGAAAGGGAATTTTGCTTGCCTTGAACATTTTCCTTTCATTGGAATACTGTGAAGAAGGCCAGCTCAGAGGTTTGGGTTGAGGGACAATCACCTAAATGTTGATGGTAAAATTGTGAAAAGGCAGTTTGTGGTGCATATTAAAAGATGTGGGTGTAAAAATGCGAGAATCTTAAGTCCTAAAGCAATAAATTAAATGTATAAACATAATGTTATAATGCGAGAATCTTAAGTCCTAAAGCAATAAATTAAATGTATAAACATAATGTTATACATGTGGCTTAATTCAGTACAAGAATTAACATTTTTTTATTTGTCTCCTGTTTCTAAAGCATGGGTTATGGTTTTTTTGAGATTTTCTTCTTTCCTAGAAAACATCAGTGTGAATCCTACTGGTTTTGCATCTGCTGTGGCGTTACTTAAAAGGAAAATATGCAGGATTTGGCTTATACTGGAAAGTACGCTGCTTTGAGCATTTAGGATATTATCAGTTGTT